AGCCGGACCAGGAGCAGGAGGCAGGCCCCGGGCAGCCAGGCGCCAGGAAGCATCTCCTAGACCCGGGCGGGAAGAGAAAGGGGAAGGGGTGTCTGTGCGGGGCTGTGCGGGCCCGGGGGCCAGTGCGCGGCCGGGGAGCCAGGAAATGGGCATCGGCTGTCAGGGAGGCCAGCCGTTTGGACAGCAGTTTACGTTGTTGTTTTATAAAGAACTCGTGTATTTATTTATTTTTATTTTTTGTTAATCCTCACCAGAGGATATTTTTCTATTGCTTTTTAGAGAGAGTGGGTGGGAAGGGGAGAGGCAGAGAGAGAGAAACATCAGTGTGTGAGACACATCGATCTGTTGCCTCCCACAGGAGCCCCGATCAGGGCCAGAATGGAGCCTGCCCTTGACCAGAATCAAAGGTCGAGGCTCTATCCACTGAGCAAACCGGCCAGGGCCAGTTTATGTTTTTAATGGTTTTCCTACCACCTCATGTAGCCTTGCAAGGTGGGCAGGACCAGGGCTCTCGCCTCCCGACAGCGAGGAGGTCTCATGGCCTGTCCACAGCCACCTGCAGGTTGGCAGCAGGCCCAACGCCCGGGTCTCCTGGACTCCCCATGTTGTTCCAGATTGGAGAAAGGGGCAAAAAGGCATGGAAGAAAGGAAGAAAAGACTACGTGGATGGGGAATTTTTAAGATAATATGTGAACTATGGGCAGATTATTCCTAAATTGGAAATTTTTAAACCACACTCTCCTTGAGTTTCCAAATCTCAGCACATTCCAGAGCCCCCTTACGAAGAGACCATACCATCTGCTCTCTGCACATCTGCTGAGAGTGAAGGCAGCCTCAGCACAAGCAGGCTCTTATCTTGAAACCAGCCCGTGGGCCCCTTAGTACAGCCTCAGCACAAGAGGACTCTTATCTTGAAACCAGCCTTGTGGGCGCTGAAATGCTGTCCTCCTGCCCCTGACATCCCACCCCCACCAGCAGGGGGCCATGGAGCTCCCCAAAGCATCCAGACAGGAGGTCCCAGCTACAGGGATTCCATAGACCAGTAGGTTTTGTTTTAAATAAGGGAAGGGGACCAGGTTTTTAGTTTACTAAATATTATTTTTTAAGGGGAAAAAAAATGCCAGCATCCACCCACAGGTCACAAGTTGGTGATTCAGCTTAAAACTGTGTTTTGTCTATGTTTCAGTCCTTTCTATGCATGAGCCATTAGGCCAACATGTAAAAAAAGAGAAGCATCACATTAAAACTCCAGATTTCAGGCGCTGGCTGGTATGGCTCAGCTGGTTGAGCATCATCCCATGCACTGAGAGGTCATGGTTGGATTCCTGGTGAGGGTATATAGGCCCTGGTTGCAGGCTTGATCCCCAGTAGGAATCGTGCCGGAAGCAGCCGATTGATGTTTCTCTTTCCCTTTTCCTTCCTCCCTCTCTAAAACATCAGTGAAACATATTTAATTTTTTTTTAAAAAAAATCCAGATTTCCAGATGATTTAGGGGCAGTGGACTCACATTCCTACGTGACAAGACCAACTGGGCTTAGTTGCCCCCCTAGGGGGAGTACACCTCCCAGGTTACTGCTGTTCCCACCCCACTATGATCTACATGGCTTGTAGTGGCTCAGATTCCATAAGTTAGAATTCCAGCTTTACCGGGCGCCAGCTATGTGACCTTGGGCTTGTTACTTAATCCGTCTGCGCTTCAATTTTTTATCTGTAAAATGGAGATAATAATAGTGTCTATTGTGTTAGGGTAATTGGGGATTAAATGAATAAATACAAGTAAAGTTTTTAGATCAGTGTCTGAGATACTAGTAGAGAGCAATTAACAAACTATGTAAATTATTGTTAAATGTTGCAAGCCACCATCGTTACAGAAAAAAAATTATCTGAACACCAAAAAAGTAGGAAAAACAAAATGCCTTTCAGATAGAATACATTTGGAAGGAAAGGAGGGACGGAGGAGGGAAGAAAGGAGGGAAGGAAGGAAGGAAAGGAAAACCCTCACTCAACATAATCCTAATTCTCCTCAATTGTCCTGTTTTCAGTAAAAACTCACAACTTGAGGGGATAAGGGCACATATGTAATACCTTAAGCAATAAAGTGGAAAAAATAAAAATAAAAAACTCACAACTGGCCCCTAGCTGCCTCTCTGCTGCCCTCTTCTGGCTGCCTCCTCCATCGCAAAATTCAGCTTCAGGTTAAAGGGCTTCTTGTGTGACAGTCTCCCGCAAACACCGTGCTTACGGAAAGCCCCTCTATAGACACTAAACAACTCAGTTTTTCCAGGAATTCTTCAGCCTGTAGAGAAGGGACAACTTCTCCCTGAGAAAGGGCACACGTCCCTGAGGCTCCTCGGTGCACACAGACGCTGAGTTAGCCACAGGGGGTGGATTTCACACCGTGGGGGTATGACAGCAACTGCCTGTCGGCTACTCAGGACACGAGAGGGCAAGGAACAAGCCTCGGGCATGTGTGTGCCGCCTGGTTCTGCGGCCCTTAGACCAGTGGTTAGCGTTCAGCTTTAGCCTGAGATGTTATTCTCTTGAGATTGTGTGCATGGAATACAGATAAGAAGCAGAGAACCCTGGGCAGAGAGGGTAAGGTAACTGTCCCACCACACCAGCCACCTGGGCTGCCCCTGGGACCCAGCACAAAGCCCCCAGGATCCTGACAGCGCTTCTCTGGCCCCAGAAATGAGGTGCCTGGCAGTGTGCTTCTCCATCGCAGCCCCCAGCACAGTCCTCCGGCACTAAGGGTTTCCATGGCCGCCCTCCTTGTGAGAAGTGGGTGTACTCCTCTCTGCACTCAGCGCAAGCGCAGCGCTGACTCACTCTGCGCTGGGTTAGTGCCTGTGGAACCAAACCCTCCACAGCTGAGATGAGCAGCCTGGGAGGCAGCACTCCTGTCCCGGGAGCGGTACCAGCCCAGGTGAATGACCCCCAGGCTGGGAGGACGGTCTCAAATCCCCCCACCCCTCGAGTAAGAGGGAAGCGATTCCTCTCTTTAACACACTGTAACATTGTCATGTGCCCGTTATAACCCCTTTGGTCCTTGGTTCTCACAGGCAGTTTCCAGAAAACAGTCCACTAGAATGGACGTGGGGGCCCTAAGGCATCTGGCCAGCCTCCACCTGGAGAGGGTGTCCGCAGTGGGGCTTGGGGTTGAACCCAGATCTGGTTTTCCCATCTCCCCTGCCAGGAAAGCCAGGACCAAACGGGAGACACAGGTGAAAGGAAAGCTAAAGCTCATGGGAGAATGTGTCCCACCTACTGAGCCTGAGAGGCGTTCCTGCAGCCCCTGGTCTGTGTCTCTGACTCTAATCTACTGTCATCCTATATAACAAAGAGCTAATATGCTAATTAGACCAGACTGCAGGACGACCTTCCAGAACTACCTTCCCGAAGGAGGGGGGTGGGGGCGGGGCCTCAGGGCTGTGAGGCAGCCAGGGCTGCGAAGGCCGAGCCCCTTGTACGAATTTTGTGCATCAGGCCTCTAGTTTGGAAACATAGGCCTTAGGACTTTCCAGCAAAGGCAGTAACTTGAGATTCAGGACTTGACCAAAACAATGACATCAGTCACACAGGAGATCAAGTGTAGACAAATCAGCTTCGGCTCAGGCAAAAGTGGGTGAGGGAGGTAAAGGGGACCTCTCTGATGTGGGGGGCAGAGCTCAGGTGGCTGTTCCCACCTTCTAGCTCCCAAAGCTCCCACACATACATCTCAATACCCAGAGCAAATCTAGAAGGACCCAGAATGGGGAAACTGAGGGTCCCAGAGCCAAGGCGACTGGTCCAAGGACACACAGTTGAGAAGGAAGGGGCCAGGGTCAGCCTGCTGGCCTGTGTGCTAAGCAAGGTGCTTGCTGTGACACCCTTGGTATGGCTTCCACGCCACGGCAGTGGACCGGGCAGGGTACACAGGCCTGCTCCTCACATTTGCAGGGCCCATAGTGAGAGCATACAAGGGACCTCGCCTACTGTCTGTCCCCTTCTCTCCCCCCGACTCTCTCCAGTGCTGTGAGTAGAGACCTCATATTCACTTCTGTGAAATGGTTGGCCTGGGGAGGCAATCCACACGAGCCCTGGGTCCCGGATACTGAAAACAGGCTTTAGAATGGAGCACAGCCTCTGATGGGTGTGAGCCTTTGATCTTATAAACTTCTCACCCCTTGGGATGTCATGGTGGGAGGAGGGCCAGACAGGGCCTCTAAAGTGTAGGCCAGACACCCCCTTGCCCCAGTCTACTGGGGCAGAAGGAAGCAGGGGATGGTACTCACGGTGACCCTGTGAAAGGGTTGTTTGACCCCCAAAGGGGTCGCAACCTACAGGTTGAGAACCACTGCTCTAGAGTCAGTCCGGATTCAAATCTTGTCTCCATCCCTTATTAGGTCTGAGCCTTAACTGAATTGCCTCACCTCTCTGTGCTTCAGTGTTCTCATCTTTAAAACAATGAGCTTCAATACTACCTCCGTCATGGGGTTGTTCTGAGGATTGGATGAGAAAATGCTCTGAAAACCCAGACCCAGAGCCGGCACAGTGGACACCCTCTGGTTCCCCACTTGCTGCCATCGAAAGGGCTGTTTACTGTAAAGGTCTAAGAGCACTCATTTGAAAATGGTCTGTTCTTTTTACTTAATGAAGTGTTGTGGGTTCCTGGACTTTTCATTCTACTGAATCACAGCCTTGCACAGTATGGGAGCTGAGGATCTGTTTTGCACAAACTTCTGGAGTAACTGCTATGCGCACTCCATGTTGACAGCTATCATTGTTGTTTTCATGGCCAGAGCATTTCGGTATCCATCCAGAGCAGCAGTACTCACCCTGATTCCTCTGAGT